TCCCATGTGAACTCCGGAGTATGAGTGACACCAAGAGTTGTCCTAACTGGGGGCAAGGTGGCCATCTGTGCCCATATCTGTCAGCTATTGGCTGGGGACCATGAGGACAGCCCCCCACCCCCACCCCAGGCATTGGCTGAGGGCAGTTCTCCAGCGATCTGGGCTTCCATTGCATCTACTTTGGTTCTGGGCCCAGTTCTCAGTGGACACCTTGGGAAGGCCCAGTCCTTGCTCCTAGGAACACACAGAGCACGGGACCGCACCTGCCTGTGCCCTCTATGGAAGGGCCCTCAGTCCTTTGGGACCCAGAAGAGGAATCAGGGTGACTCCGTGGAAGGGGAGGCAAGCTGTGGGGCCACTGAAGGGGAAGCGCCTGGTGGGAAGAGGTGGGACCCTCAGAGCTGCAGGCAGCCAGAGGGCTCCGTCCATGGTCTGGCCAGGCCTCATGGCTGCCATGGACCCAGCAGACTTGCAGCACCCACTTTCCCCTGGCCTCAGCTTGTAGTCACTGGAGCCCAGGCACTGGACAGTCCTGGCAGATGACCAGGACCCACACCACTGCTGGGCCGCTGAGCCCCTGCCCCATCCCTTCCTAGCCCTCCCAGCTCAGGGTCCTCTGGGGTCATCTCTCTGCACAGGTGGTCATCAAGACACAGACGGAATATGGACTGCCCTCCACAGAACAGCTGAAGAAGTTCCCAGACATAGAGGCCCAGAAGCTGGCCTCCACCAACCCAGAGGAAGGACGCGGGGTAACTGAACCCTTGCCACCCAGTGCTTCTGGGGGGGTCAGTCCCGTGGAGAGTCAGATTAGGATCAAGGTGCTGAGGCAGCCACAGGCCCTGAGCACCCAGGGCTGGGCCAGCGGGGCTGGGCCCCCTTTCTCAGGCTGCTGCTGTCAGGGAAGTTGGACAAGGAAGCGCCCATTCAGAGGCACGGTGGGGTGGGAACGAAGGCTGGGTGCTTAGGGGTGGGGGTGCTGAGGGACTTGAGGCTGAGCAACGCCAGACTGACCTGTGGCCAGTGGGACCCAAAGCCTCCCTCCGGCTGCACAGTGGGTGACAGCCACTGTGGGCAATGCGTGCAGCCGCCTTCCCTGCAGGTCATTTGTCTCCTCCTGAGTGACTCGTTGCTTTCCTTTCTTTTTAAAAAAATATTTTTAATTGAATTTAGAGAGGAAGGAAGAAGGAGAGAGAGAGAGAGAAGCATCAATGAGAGAATCATTGATCGGCTGCCTCCTGCAAACCCCACACTGAGGATCGAGCCTGCACCCTGGGCATGTGCCCCCACCAGGAATCAAACCGTGACCTCCTGGCTCATAGGTTGACGTTCAACCACTGAGCCACGCCGGCCGGGCTTGTTGGTTTTATACATACTATAGACAGTCGCTCTTCCTGCTAGGGACTCTGGCAAATATTTTCTCCCACCCTTTTTTTAGCATTATTAATTTTACGAATAATGATTTCTCTCCTTTTCCCTGTACTATTTCTAAAGCCTTTCATGTTTCCATAGTAAAACCTGCCCCTTCCCCCTATTGTTTCTGAGAAGGAAAGCCTCGCCCCCACGGGCTAGCAGGGTCGGTTGGGGGGCTCAGCTGGGTTCGCAGCCCCATCATGAGGACTGTCCCAGGAGCCCGGGCTGGGTTCCGTGCCCCCCCCCCCCCCCCCCGCCCATGGGTTCCTCTCCTCTCCCTCACCCACAGATGCCCCCAGCACGTATGCTGGCCTTCGTCATGGCGCTCATGGGCTGCCTCCTGATCATGTACAAGGCCCTCTGGTACGACCAGTTCACCTGCCCGGATGGCTTCCTGGTTCGGGTAAGGCAGGCAAGCTGGGCCCAGAGTGGGGAGGGGGTCCCCAGGCAGAGTACCAGGGAGGGGCCCTGGGGGTCCAGGGGAAGCATGGGGACGGGTGCCCCCGGGGGGAGCCCAGGGCGTGTCCTGCTCCTGTGGGTTTAGGATCTCCTAGCACCTTGTGCTCCAGTTACCTTCCCAGAAAACATTCAAATCCTCTTTTGAAAGATTCAAGGAAAAGGTGTCTTAGCAAGAGACGTTGTGGTCCTGTGAGTAAGAACTACGTAAACCTCAGGGAGGAGGTGCAGGGACAGAGGTGAGCTGGCCAGGCAGCCCTCCTGGGTCAGCATCTGCTCTGCACCAGAGGTGCTGCTCTCTCCCGCGCTGACCTGTGCGGGGCCTTCTATGTGATATGACATTAACCTTCTCCCACAGTTGGCAAATATTTCCTCCCTCCTCTTTTCTCTCTCTTAACTTTAGTAAGGGTTTTTAGCCTTTTTAGTGTATTTTCCTAACGCCTCTAATTTTCCAGGAGTGAAATCTACTTTCACCCTGACCCCAGCGTTGCTGGAGCCTGGGAGGCCTGTCTGCATTCCCAGGGGTTCCCTGTCCCTCACTCGCTGGGATTCCCTCCATGTGCTCTGGGCGGGGGTGGGCTGGGGTGTGCTCGCGGAGCCCCTCCCCTTCACTCCAGGCAGGGGCCACCACCCCCCTTCTGAGAGGGGTTGACGCTCCATGGAGCCCCCGCTTCTGAATTGGAGGCCAACTTGGGTGGCTGGAAATTAGGGCAGAAACACACGTATCTCGGGCGATTGTGCGCAGGATTACTGAGCTGCTCCAGAGCAGAAGGACAGGAAGGCCTAGCGGTCCCGGCCCTCCCCGCCTGTGGCGCACAATGTGGCTGCCGCTTCGTGCTCCGTGGTCGGTGTCATACAGGGGAGCTCACCCCCGTGAGCACACCGGAGCCCAGGCAGCCCCGCCCCCTGACCCGCCGCGCCCGCCCCCTCCTGCCCCCTGCAGCAGCACAAGATGTGCACCCCGCTGTCCCTGGAGATGTACTACGCGGAGATGGGCCCCGAGCGCCACCGCAGCATCCTGGCGGCCATGGGGGCCTACCCGCTGAGCCGCAAGCAAGGCACCGAGCCCCCCGTTGTCTGGAGGAAGATCCATCCCGCCTTCAAGGAGGCGCCCAAGGCGTCCACCCAGGCGGGCCCGGCGACCACCGAGGCCCCCGGGAAGCTGGCGGCGGGCGACGAGAAGGAGGCGGCGCTGAAGGCGGAGGGGAGCGTCCCGCCCCCGGCCCCGGCCCCGCAGTGACGTGCCCGAAGCCACGAAGCCCAGTAGGTGAGCCGCTGGACGGGGACTCTGGCCCGGCCACCACTCAGAGCCAGGGACCTCCTCCCTGCACCCCCACCCCATGCGGGACCCACTCCGCCTGCCAGCCTTACCCTGGGGTGCTGCCCCCCGCCCCCCACATGCGGCTGCTGTGACAGCGTCTGCGTGCCCGCGGGGGGGGGGGGGGGGCAGGGGGACCAGGGCGGGGCAGGTGAACCCGTGGCGGGAGAGGGGGGGTCCCCACGGAAATGGGTGGTCTCATCCCTCCGCCCTTCTCCGCAGCGCCCCCACCCGCGGCACCCGTGACCGCCCCGCCAGATGCTGTCCCACCACGTGGTCGTGCCCCTGTTCCCAGGACCCCCGCTGCCGCCTGCCGCCAGGAGCCTCCAGCTCTGTCGCTTTTCTCTAAATAAAGATTCACACCCACCTGGCCTCCTGGCTACCCTGAGCATCCTCGGTCGCTCCGCCCTTCTCCTGTCCCCAACCCCATGTGGCTGAGCCCCTCCCCCCCATGTCCCCACCAGCGGAAGGACCCCGAAGAACTAGGTGGGACGGTAGGCTGGGACCTGCGCGGTGGGCCTGGGGGTCAAAGCCACCTGTACACAGGGCCTTGTGGTCTCTCTGGGCGGCTACAGTACAATAACTTCACCTGCACCCAAGGGAGCCTCCAGGCCTGGGTGGCAAGGGGGGTGGGTCTGGGCAGCCTAGGAACAGTGGGTAGTGCCCAGGAAGTGGGCCGTGAGGGAAACCGTGGCACAACGGAGGCCATGTGGGTAGTGGAGTGGGAACAAACTTGGGGTGTGAGGAGGAGGGTGGTTCTGGGGGGTCAGGAGAGGCTTGGCTATGCACAGTGTCCTTAATCGCTGGACTCCTATCTATTCATCCATCCATCCATCCATCCATCCATCCCTCAGTCTATCCATCATTATCTATCAACCCATTCATCTACCCTTCTATCTATCTGGCCTGTATCATTTCTCTAGCTTTCATTTATCCAAAGTATTTTCTGAGTCAGTTGAGAGGCAACTACTTCTTTACCCTTAAATACCTCAATGTGGATTTCCTTAAAACAAGGGCATATTTTTTTACATCACTCCATGCAATTATCAAAATCAGGAATTTAGCTTTGAAACAATCATATTATCTAATCTACATACCTTATTAATAGTTTGTTAATCGTCTCAATAATGTTCTTTGTAGCAAACACCCCCCCCCCCCAAAACCAACACACACACACACACACACACACACACACACACCTGACCCAGGATCCAACCCAAGACCCATGTTGTGTTCTTACCCTTCCATCTGGGACAGCTCAGGCTGTCATGACCTGGGCAGGTCTGAAGTGAGCAGACACTCTGTAGGCTGACCTTGACTTGTGTGATACACCGTCACAATCAGCTGGAGAAGCTGTGTTTTAGGGTTTGCATCCCTGGAAGTGCTGCTGTGCCCTCTTTGGCATCCAAATCTCCTTGCTCAAGAGCTTTCATAACCCAGTATCCAGCCCTCTCCCCAAAGAGAGGTGCCTATGTTCTCATGCATTGGTCTTCTGGAGACCAGCCCTCCCTGAGCCCCGATCCAGATGCTATCTGCCCCATCTTGAGTTATCTCATTAACATAAACTCCTGCACTTGGCCTTTAGGTTGTTTACAATATTTTGCAATACAAACAATGCTTCAATGAGTAATTTATACTTTTTAAAAAATGCTCACTTGAGGGTATTTTCCCATTGGTTCCAGAGGTAGAGGAAGGGGGAGAGAGAAAACCATCGATGTGAGAGAGATACATTGATGAGAGAAACATCCATTAGTAGCCTCCCATACCGGCTCCACCAGGGATCAAACCCGTCATCTAGGTATGTGCCCTGACCGGGAATCGAATCCAAAGCCTTTCGGTGTACAGGACAACACTCCAGCCAACTGACCGACCTGGCTGGGGCCACATATATATTTTTTATTCTTGGAGATTTATCTTCAGGGTCAAGTTCCTAGAAGTATTGTTGCTGCATTAAATTTTTTTAATTTATACAATTATAAAAATTTATAAATATAAATTTAAAAACAGCTTTTCTCAAGTTTTAAAGCTCAGTTTAAAAGCTCCTTTATAAATCTAGTAACCTTTGTGTCCGTGTATGTCTTTACTTACTCTGAATGAATCTTCTAACTCAGATACTCGATAGAATCAATTTCTCTAACAGTTTTAAGACATTACAGTCTTGACAAGCTTGATCGATTAGATTCCCTAGTATTTTAAATGTTCATCATAAATGCTCAGACCTGATCTTCCTGAGTGCTCTGACCCTGCAATTTGCAGACCGCCGAACCTATCTTACAAAACCTCTGCGGCTGTGCACGCAACTCGCCGTCTCATCAGATCTTAAACTGAAATGCTCTCTCGCATCCTAAAACCAAACCCCAAGATCCCTGAGACAAAATTCAAGTTAAAACAAGTCGTGGATGCCACATCCTCTTAAGAGTTTCACAGGTTTTCAGTAGCAAACATGCATTTGCAAGGCTCCCATGACTTCTGGTGAGCCTCGCCGGAGGCAGAGAGCAGAGCTCGATGCCTTTCTGGTGCGTGTCACCCGTCACCGGTGGCATGACACCCTAGTGTCTCTCCGGAGGGCAGGCAGTGTCCCTGCTGGCGCTCTGCCGGACCTGAGTGTGACCAGGGTCAGAGTTTGCAGTGGGGGGGTGGGGTGGGGAGCCCTGCCAAGCCCCCTGCAATCAGAGTCAGGCTCCAGTTTGAAACCCAGGGGTCCCTGCAGCCTCCAGGCATCCTTTACATTTGTTCACGCTCATATTTAACAGAAACCTCTTCTAAAAACTCACAAGTCAGGCGCCCTGGAGTAGAACCCCGAGCTGGCTTCTGTCAGCTGGCCTGCAGGAGTGACCCGGATGACATGGCCCCACAGGACCCCAAGCCAGGTCAGCCACCTGCCCACAGTCCTGTCCCAGGTGTGGCCCTCAGAGGAGTCAACACTGAGACACGCAATTTGCTGACTGTGGGTCTCATCGGTGAGGTGCGTGGTGTGGTATCCGGGACCTTGAGTCCAGCTCACAGCCCAAAGGAGTCTCTTGAAGAAGGTATAACAGCTGGTGAGGCTTTAATCGTGTCAGATAAAATGCCAAAAGTCAAACATAATTCTTACACATACAGTGTGTGCCAGGTCCATGGGCTCCCTGGCGAGGGCCCCGATGATGATGATGGGAACGATTTCAAGGAAAATGTGAGATTCCATGTATTCATCTGAGAAGAGACCTGGAGCCTAAGAGAGAGACCATGCTGGGGACAGTGGCACAGGGGGAACCAGGGCCTCGGGGTCATCCTTTAATGGCTCAGACTGTGTGCAACCTGTTGGTCCTCTACAAGCTGACCTCCCCTGGCCGCCTCCCGCTCTGCTTCCCACTTCCTGTCACATCCTCCAGCCCTTCTCAGTAAATCACAAGCGTAACCCTCAGATGCCCATGTCCTCAAGGCCATTTCAAGGTTACATTCCCTTCTTCATCAGGCAAACACTCACTAGAGCCGGGCCTGGGGACACAGGGATGGGATCCAGGAGGTGGAGCCCCTCTCAGGTCAGTCATCACAGCCCCTCACCGAGGTTGCTGTCCCAGAGACACACGTCAGCTTGTCAGGTCACAGAGCAGGCTCCCCTGCCAGGCGCCTGGGAAGGAGCTGCAGGAAGAAAGAGGAGCCTGGGACTCTGGAGGGGGTGATCTGAAGGAGGCCGGTTCATGAGGTGACTCCAGGCCTGTGCCACAGTGCTCAGCACCCCCTAGAACTGCAGGAGCCTGTGGGACTGGGCAGGTCGCATGTCGGTGTCACGCTGAGAGTCCACATGCCCAATCCTACAGGAAGGTCACTCCCAGGGCAGTGGGACGTTAAACGAGGAACTACATTTGTGACTCTGCAGCTACTGCCTGGGCCTGGGCCTGGGCCTGTGGGAGGGGGTGAGGGTCAGTTTAGGGCCAAGCAGGCAGCGAAACCACAGAACCAATGAGCTACTCTCACCAGCGTAGCATCTGGCCAGGGCCCGCCCAAGGCTCCGCAGGTTGCCAGGGAATCTGCCCAGCACCAGACTTTAAGTCTGGCAGGTCATCACCTGCCAACTGCTCTTTCACAGAGGGTAGCCTGCCCATGTTACCCTGGGGCCAACCATCACCTCCAAGGTCCTGCCTGTGCTTGGGCCAGAACAGAGAGGGGTCTTGGGGAGAGGTGTGAAGCGTAAGGTGTGGGGATCTCACTCTCCGGGGGGCGCAGCTCAGGGAGGGCTCAGCCTGCTGCTGCTCCCTGCTTTGTCCCCAACGTCCAGAACCAGTTCCTAGTTACCTCCCGGGGATGCTGCCCTGTTCCTGTGGGATGACTGGCAGCAGCAGCGAGGATGAGGAGGCTGCACCGCCATGCTTGGCCACGGTTCTGGGAGGTGCTGCTGCAGCCCCCGCACACCCTCCCCAGAAGGGAGGATGAAGACAGGCTGGGGTCTTTATTTCAGGACCTGGGGCCATGCAGAGCAGAAAGGGCTCACCGGTCTGGAATCAACGGCCACAGACGCAAATCTGACCGTGCCCAGTACAACCGAGGTCTCCCATTTCCAGCCAACGATGGCTGTGGCAAGCACCCTGCAAGCTCTCAGCACTGAAGGCTGGAGCGCAGTGTGTGTGTGTGTGTGTGTGTGTGTGTGTGTGTGTGTGTGTTTCCAAGTCCCTAGGGATTGACCTGTTCTCATCTCCGTGTCCCAGAACGAGGGGCAGGTGCCTGGAGGAGCTGCATTCTGCTCTGGCCCCTGGACATCTAGAGAGGTGCAGGCCAGCCCTAAGGGTCTCTCAGGTAGTTTGACCAAAGTCCCCCTCCCCAGTCTGTCGGGACAGAGCAGTCACCTCTGGCCTCAGAGCAGGCAGTGCAGGCTGCCCTGCTTGGCACAACTAACCAGAGGTGAGAGGCAGCGCGCCAGCCAGGCCTCACGGCGGCCACGTCCACAGCACCGGCCACGGGGCGGCTGGATGTCCACACAAGGCCCTTCCACAGGCCCTCCCACCGCCACATGGGGTTAACCTCTCTCCAGCTGCACAGAGACGTACTGGCAGAAACACAGGCCGGGCTCCAGGTGGCCCCGGGCGGTCGCAGTGTCCACGCAGTGGGGGAAGTCTGCCTGTACCAGGCAGCACGCGTAGGCACAGGAGAACTGCAGCAGGGCCTCCCGGAACAGGGCCTCGCCCTCGGGGGCCTGGAGGAAGGTCTGCCTGCAGTCCTCCAGCTGCACGAACACGAAGGTCAGCTGGTTCAGGGTCTGGCAGCCCATCAGCACCGAGTGTGGCGCCAGCAGCAGGTTGGCCTCCCCCACCCTGAGGCCCAGCTCCTGCATCTTCCTCCTAGAAAACCTTCTGAACCAGCACAGAGTGTTAACTGCTAAGACTATGCTGAGGAGGCAGCAGAACACATTGGTGGTGATTAGCAGGAACCGCAGACCCGGTTTTATGAGCTCGAGCCCGAAAACCACGAAGAGCAAGATCAACAACAAGAAGAGAAGAAGGAGGAAGATGCTGAGCAGGATCCTGCAACCCAGATACCGGAGGCAGGACCTGGGGGACTGTACCCCATTCAGGATGCCCACAGCGTGCTTGTACACCTCGGGGTCCGGCAACACCTCCTTCAAGGGGTCTGGGACGCTCAGGGTGCTGAAGGTCCCCACCTTCCAAGAGGGCAGCCTGTCCCTGTTGACACAGTTCAGGGTCAGGAGGGTCTTCCCGCTGTAGAAAGAAGGGACCGGGCGCGGGCCGGGCAGGGATCGCGCCATGCAGTGGCTGGGTGTGCACAGGAGCCGCACCACCTTGCTGTAGAAACGGCTGTCCATGGCCTCCAGGTAGGTCAGGTGGCTGAGGTGCAGCGGGACCTGGCAGGGCCGCAGCAGGACAGGGATGACCGGCTTCCTCTCCAGGCAGTAGCCAAAGAGTGACAGGTCGGCCTCGAGGAGGCACCACCTGCTCTGCACAAAGTCCTGGCTCAGCACCAGCAGCACCTTCTGGCTCTGATGGATGCACTCAGCCATGTTCTCCAGGATGTTCCTGCCTGGGGTGAAGTCCCGCTCGTGCAGGCAGACCCGCAGCCCCGCGTGGTCGGCTTCCAGGCGGCCGATGAGCCCATGTGTCCACGTGGCATCCATGCTGCTGTAACTGACAAACAGGTGGAACTTCTCGCTGGGCTTCAGCGGGGGGATGGCCATGGCTGCACCTTTCTCCTCGGAACTGGAATCCATGGAACTGGAATCCATAGGCGCTGCCCCTGAGCTGCTTTTGTTCTCCCACAGAGAAAACCACCCCTGGCTGCAAGAGATCAGGGCAGACTCATTATGCAGAAAGACAAGGCCAACCATCCATAAAGGTGGAACCAGGTCCACAGCCTGCAGCAAGCAGCCTGGGAAGCCACAAACAATACCTGTGATGCCCTAACGCTGGCCCCAGCCCCAAGCCTCCGCTGTTCTCACCTGGTGTCTTCACTCATGTCCACAAGACATTTGACTTTGAAAGGGGTGGGGCACACAGAAGCCACACTTTCCAGTCCTTTCTTTTTCCTCCGATGTGGCTCATGAGGTCCTGGGAGGTTGCTATAGACTGAATGTTTGTGTCCCCCACCAAGTTTGTATGTTGAAATCCTAACTCCCGATGGTGGTAGGAGGTAGGCCTCTGGAAGTTTATTAGATCCCGGGGTGGGGCCCTCAGAATGGGGTTAGTGCCCCTGTAAAAGAGGCCCCAGGGAGCTCTCTTACCCGCCTCCCTGTGAGGACACAGCCAGGAGCCAGGAGGTGGGCCTTGCCAGAACCCGCCCATGTGGGCCCCCGGAGCTCAGCCCTCCAGCCTCTAACTGAGAAATGAATGTTGTTGCATAAGCCACCCTGTCTGTGGCTGTTGAGGAGCCCACACAGACCGAGACGGGACCTCCTCTACAGCACTTGCTCTGGGAGGAGCAGTCACACCTTCCAGAAAGCACTAGAACTTTCTCTACACAGCTCAAGACCCTCGAATAGAGATTCTGCAGCTCAAACCCTGTGAGCCGAGGGCTGAGCTTGAACTGCCTTAGTTGGGGTCTGTCTGCTGTCTCCCCAGGACTCACCGCTGGGGGCTTGCTCAGTGGACCCAGCCAGTGGTCCTGGCTTCAGAGCCAGCTCCGCAGGCACAACCCGGCGATGACCTCACTCTGCCTGGTGGTCCCCAGCTGAGAACCTTCCCCACTTAGGCCAGCAGCATGGAGTCATGAGGAATGCTCAGCCGGCCCTGTAAGGGCCCCATACCCTCTCACCGGCCCCTCTGGGAAGCAAAGGAGGAGGAAGCCCATCTGCCCATTCCCCACTTCCCCAGGGTCCCTGAGCCCCACCTGTTCTACCTGGCCGCCAGGAGGAAGGCTCCTGTATGGGATGAGGAAGGGACTCATTCCTTAGCCCAGTGGTCGGCAAACTCATTAGTCAACAGAGCCAAATATCAACAGTACAAGGATTGAAATTTCTTTTGAGAGCTAAATTTTTTAAACTTAAACTATATAGGTAGGTACATTGTTATTCACTTTTTTAGGGTACTCCTAAGCTGGCCTTTGCTAAAAATGTCCTCAATCTGATTGAGGTACAGTCTCTGAGGTCGACCCTTTCCAACTCTCCCATCCACACTCATCTTGTATACTCGTTTCGTCTATCCCCTTTCGTTCATCCTCTCTATATGTTCACCCCCCACTTCTTCTAATGCCACTTCTTCAAAATAGACTCACCCAAGCTGAAAACCGACTTCTGCGCATGGGCCACGAAGTTTCAATCGCACTGTACCTGTGCGCCCGCACCTTGAATTTTGTGGAAGAGCCACACTCAAGGGGCCAAAGAGCCGCACGTGGCTCGCGAGCAGCCATTTGCCGACCACTGCCTTAGCCCACTCAGCACAGCACAGCACAGCACAGCACAGCACAGCACAGCACAGCACAGCAGGAGTCTTTGCAAGAGGCTTCCAGGCCCACCCTTTCTGCCCAGCGAGCCCACATGCCCTGTCCCTTCCAAGAGGTGGCAGGTGAACATCACGTGAGCAAGGCTCTGAGGGACATGGTCGGAAAGCCCTCCCTTTGCCATTCGTCTCACCCATGTCCCAGCCCTCCGCCCCCCACAGCCCTCCACACAGGAATCTCACCAAATCAGGCACGGAAATGTCTCAGGCTCTCAGGCGGCAGCACTGCCCACCTGTCACTTCAGTCCTCAGAGAGCTAGTGGGCAGCCAGGGGCCCTCCCGCAGAGCTGTCCCAGACAGAAGGAAGTTTGCGCTTCTTGCGCTTTCCAGAAACCTCTCTGCTGGAGCTAAGAGTGGGAAATGAAAGAGAAAGTGGGCAATGGGAGGGGCCATCTGGGAAGGGGAGGAGTCTGGGAGAAGACAAAAGTCTGCCTCAGCCCCAGGGAATCTGAGGCAAAGTGGCCAGGAGCTCTCAGAATCTGCCAGCAGCTGATGCTGGGCGTTCCCAGGGCACCAGAGCTCGAGTCCCTCCAGCTGGAGGCAGGCACAGGAAGGGCCACTGGGAGCCGGGAGCTCCTGGTTGGGTTCAGCGGAGCACGTCCAGCCAGGATCAGAGTGAGAGTCACCCTCTGTGTCCCCAGGGCTGGCTGCATCCAACAAGGGAAGATTCTGGGTGACCCTCCCCAAACAGCCATACTCTGGGGTCCAAGGCCAGGCAGCAAGCAGCCTGGAACCCATGCCCCTCCTAATGGCTCCCCCAAACCCATCCACAGCTTGTAACTGGCCTCTTCACCAATTCTGCTGAGTCACCTGTGGATGAAAGGGGCCACATGCTGACCTGACAAGCTCAGGGGAGGCCTGCATGGCAGTTTTGCAGACTCAGAGATCTAAAGTAACTACAAAGGATGGTCTGAAATTAAACCTTAACTAAAAGCAGTTATGGTGGGCAGCCTAAGCCGATATCTTCACTGATAAGGTCAACCTTTACCGTAACTGAGCCTATCTGTCTTTTTGCATCTAAGATAACATACCCTTGGGATGTCTGGGTAACTTATGACTTCCCTTTTTATGGAGCCCCTGGGGCACAACCAGGTGTGCTGGGTCCCAGGACAGATACCACAAATTCCTTCATCATCATGTTAATTGTTCCTGCACCCACCTAAGTATGTGTCCATCATTTTACTTTTTATCCTATCACAGAGGTTTCCCCGCTTTGCTTAATCCCACCTCCTTAAATCTGTCACCAATGAATTTCATGTATAAATACGGATGTAACCCTGCCATTCTCCAGAGCACTATCTCAATTCGTTGAGGTTCTGCTTCCCGGCATATGTCGACAGTTTGGCTCAAATAAACTCACAAAAATTCTTTACAGGTTTCAATAGTTTTTTTACATTAACACACCCAAGGGACTGGCCATCTGTGTCCCTCTGGGCCCTGCCTCAGTTTCCTCATCTGTTCTGCAGAGGCTGATGGGGGTCCCAGGAGGATTATGCCTGCAGGCATCCAGGAAGGAAGGGAGGGAAGCAGGCCAGCTGGGAGGGGGGCAGGGGTGACGTCAGGGAAAGGCGTCACTGCTCTTTGCTCCAAGGGTAGGGTGGCTGGGGCATAACTCACAGGCTTCAGGGTGGGTGCGAATCCATGGCTTAGTGAGGCGCAAGGCTGCAGGTGAGCACCTTGTGGGCCCTCTCCACTGTGGATCTGGTAGACCCACCTGGCCCCAGGGACAGAGTCTGGGGAAGCTCTGGGCCCTTGGTCCTGGTGGCACAGACATGGGGACATCCTGGAAGCCCCTCACCCAGCGGTTATGCAGATACAAACCAGGCAGCTGGGTTTGCAGGGCCAGGGGCTGCCAGGTGCTGAGTGAACCCTGCAGCCAGAGGGCCTGTGGTGGGGACCAGCTCTTCATGGGTTTACTTGGAGCCAACACATCACCCTTGCGTGCTGGGTCCCTGGCCTAGCAGGTCCACTGGTGGGAAGGCCCAGGCCGTGGAGCAGAGGCCCACGGCCCCATTTTGAAATGAACAGAAAGCTCCGGGAAGAGGCCGTCCCCTCTGACTCCCCTCCCTCATGAGTCCCATGATCTGGGACAAGTCCCATCCTGCTGCGAGTGAGAGGGGTAGGCATTGTCGGGTTAGGGCAACCATCCCCACATCCATCCTAACACACATGAGTTTGTGTGCTTTTGTGTGTGTTTGAAACTTTCCATAATAAAAATACCTTAGCCCTGGCCTATCCACTGAGCAGTGGATAGAGCGTTGGCCCTCAGACTGAAGGGTCCTGGGTGTGATACTGGTCAAGGGCATGTACCTCGGTTGCAGGCTGGATCCCTGGCCCTGCTCGGCAACCAATTGATGTGTCTCTCTCACCTTGATGTTTCTCTCTGTCTCGCCCCTTCCCTTCCACTCTCTCTAAAAAATCAATGGAGCCCTAGCTGGTTTGACTCAGTGGACAAGAGCGTCGGCCTGCGGACTGAAGGGTCCCAGGTTTGATTCCAGCCAAGGGGACATGCCTAGTAGGGGGCGTGCAGGAGGCAGCCAATCAATGATTCTCTCTCATCGTTGATGTTTCTATCTCTCTATCTCTCTCTCTTCCTCTCTAAAATCAATAAAAATATACTTAAAAAAAATAAAAATCAATGGAAAGATATCCTCGGGTGAGGATTAACCAAAAAACAAACAAACAAGCAAAATACCTTAACAGGAAACAGGAGTGATGAGGAGGGGGAAGGGAACCTGAGGGTGGGGGAGTGAGATGGAGGCAGTGATGGGCCAGGTGCTTGGGGGTGACTATTGGAAAGTCTGGCTGGATACACAGGTGCACAGACAGACATCTTTCGACCCAAATGGACGTGCGCCTGAAGCCGAAACCTGAACGGAGGTGCCAGGCTGCTTTGCTGTCTCAGCTGCCAAGAGCTGCTTCCAGTGGTCCTGGGAGGTCAGAAGATGCTGGGACTGAAGCCATTGCCGGAAGCTGGATTCCCAAAAGGTTTTACTTCCAGGGGGAAGCTGGGCCGGAAAGAAAATCCACGCAGCAAAGGCCCACGGCAGGCTGTCCTGTTGGCTTCAGCCCAGGTCTGGGGGCTGCATTCACGGTGGACCTACGCGGAGGGCTGGGTTGTGATTTACTGTGTGGCTCAGCAAGCAAGCGGCCCTAGGCCCCTGACAGGAGCAGCCCACGCGCCTTCCAGAGGAGTGTGGCCCTCCAACCGCTCACTGCACAGGGCTCCACACAAAGCCACCCAGATGTGAACTCACAGCCAACGCTACAGAATATACAAGCAGGAAACGAAATTCAGCAGGAGCAGCCGACTCAACAATCTTTAGAAAGTGAGATTAGAGGTTTTACAGAAGAAATACTTGTGTTTAAAATCTTGAGAAATACAGTGGATAGAGCGTCGGCTTGCGGACTGAAGGGTCCCAGGTTCGATTCCGGTCAAGGGCATGTACCTGGGTTGCGGGCACATCCCCAGTAGGAGATGTGCAGGAGGCAGCTGATCGATGTTTCTCTCTCATCGATGTTTCTAACTCTCTATCTCTCTCCCTTCCTCTCTGTAAAAAATCAATAAAATATATTTAAAAAAAATAAAAAATAAAAAAAATAAAAATAAAAAAAAATCTTGAGAAATAAAAGAACTGAAAATACAAAATAGGGTCAAATGCATTTTTAAAAAGGCAGGCAAATTTGAAAAAGAATAAAATAATTTTTAGAAATAATGAAAATATATTTACTGAACATTAAACACTAGAACAGTTAAAAAAAACAAACGTTAAATACAGCTGGAGAAAAAAAAAATGGGGATGTGAAAGGTACAGCTGAAGAAATGGTCCATAATGCAGCAGGGGGGACAGAGATAAAAGATGGAAGATGTAAGGAGGTTAGGAGACCAATAGATCGCAGTGAGAAGACCAGGCCTATTTTTATTGGCACTCTAGAGGGGGAGAAAGTAGGGAAATAGCAATATTTGAAAAAGTAGCTGCTAACAACTTCTTCAGAATTACTTTAAAAAATTGACCTGTATTTTCAAAAAACACAACCTATCCCAAACAGAAATAAACAATAGAAATAGTGTTCAACTTTCAAGCCACTGGCAGGGAAATAATTATTTTTTTAAAGTATCTAAAGAAAAGCAGAGGAGGAGAGAAAAATAAGCAAAGACACAGTGGAGCGCATAGAAAGCACAAAAAGGATCCCACAGCTAAATCCAAATAGATTAGCAATTATATTAAATATCAAAGGTATTTAATATATGAGTTACAGCAGAGAGATGCTCAGATTGGCGAACAAGTAAAATTCAGCTACATGCTTTTACAAGAGACGTCCCTTGAACACAGAAACGGAAACATAGGGAGTAAAATGGACATTTGTCCAAGAGCATACGGGCCCGTCTCAGAGAGTGCATAGTAGTCAGGGCTGGACGAGGAGCTGGGGCCAGGTAAGGGGCAGCTGGAAGCACGGGGTCCTGGAGAGCCAGGCCCCAGAACTGGGGAACCTCCTTCCTTGCTGGGCATGGGAAATGAGATTCCCCGTTTACTCCCAGGTCTCAGACTCAGGGTGGAGGCAGGGCTGGTGGAGGGGTGGGGGCTGGGAAGCTACGGGGAGGGGTCTGCAGAAGGAAGGACTAGGACAGAAGGGTGGCTCGGCCCACAGTGTTCTACAGGGTCCTGAAGGCATTCCGTTCTACGACCCTGCTCACAAAATAAGATGGCGTATTACTCACAACGGCCAGAAAGTGGGAACAATCCCGAGGCCTACCAACTGCTGCAGGGCAAACAAAATGTGGAAAAGCCACACCGCGCAATAGCTGGGAGTCCGGACACCTGCTGTGCGTGCGTGCGTGCGTGTGGGGGGCCCTGGAAGCAACCAGACACCAAACAGCACAGCGTCCGATTCCATTTACAGGAAACGTCCAGAACAGGCAAGTCCGCGAAGACAGAAGCAGATTCATGGTCACCAGGGGCTGGGGGAGGGGATGTGGAGTGACAGCTGCTGGGGATGGGGGTTCTTATGAGGATGACGAAAGTATTCTGGAGTTAGAGCCTTGTAAGAGCCGCTGAAATGTACACTTTAAAAGGGTAAATGGCCGAACCGGTTTGGCTCAGTGGATAGAGCATCGGCCTGCGGACTAAAGGGTCCCAGGTTCGATTCCGGTCAAGGGCACATCCCAACCAAGGGCGCAACCTTGGTTGCGGGCACATCCCTACTGGGGGGCGTGCAGGAGGCAGCTGATCGATGTTTCTCTCTCATCGATGTTTCTAACTCTCTATCCCGCTCTCTTCTTCTCTGTAAAAAATCAATAAAATATATTTTAGAAAAAAAAATAAAAGGGTAAATGTTATGGGTAGATGACATCTCAACTGGAAAAAAAACCCCAAGACGGCACATGAGGAAGAAGTTAGTGGAGCCCTCTGGTAACCAGAGCCTTGCGCGCCACCGCTGGTCGCCGGTCACGTGCAGGACCTGGGAGATGCTGATCTTGCTGATG